CCGCCCTAATTTACATAAGTGGAGTACCGACCATATAAATATGGGTTGGTACCGGAAGACGAGGGAAGATTAAGAGATCGAATCCAGAGACTCTGCCCGACTGCGACTTAGTCAACCCATTCTGCAGGAACAGTCTTCCCAAGAATATACCAAAACTACCTGTAAATAATGTGTGCCTTTTTCATTGTTTCAATACATTTTTGTTACGATACATTTTGTGTTGTATTATTATTATTCCATGCTTATTCAAGCTTCAACACTAGAGATGGGCAACTTATCTCTCCTCTGCTCTAGCTCTGACATCTTAGTGGGGGTGGGGGAAATTAGCTGGTTACATTCAAACCTCAAAAACAAAAAAACTAGTAACATCCCATTATCACTGATCGGACCCTGAACCACCACCAATCACAATGAATGGATGTTCCCTCAGGGAGAACCTGTGACTTGAGTGACTATTTGGGCCTTAAACTCAACCCAGACCTCAAGTGGAGCTCATACATATGATCCATTATTAAAGATGCAGGAAAGATGATCGGTTACTTGAACAGCTTCAGTAAGTACCTGACCCTTAGTACTATCCTCTACCTTTACAAAAATCAGATCAGGTCTAAAATGGAGTACTGCTGCCCAGTCCTCACTTCCCAATTTCAATAGAATTTGAAAATGTCTCCACATTCTTGTGGGTAACAAATTATTTTCCACCCTGCAACTCTTCTTTCACAGATGAAATGTCACAAGCCTCTCACTGCTCTATCACTATTTCCATGGAAAGTGCTCAGATGAAATACATTCCTTGGTTTCACCAATTCTAACCCTCATCCCCTTTGTATTTCATTGGTGAGAAGTAAGTCCTACTCAAGCAGCTTCTTCTTGCCAACCACTACCTTGTGGGAACAACTCCCAAGAGGATATTTTCCCAATCACTACACTCTTAACCTGTTCCTGTCTAGGGTTAATCGTTATCTTTTCCATATAAACTGTACCTCTTACTCTGTCTTACTCTGTAACTCTCTGAGTAGCTCCTGGGCCTAGTACAGGTTGGTGATTTTTGCTTAGTGGCATATCAACCTCTATGAGTTATTTAATGCTAAAATCTAAATATTTTTTGTACATCATTTTATTTTATTTTTGCAGATAATAATGTTTTAGTCTTACTAATTAACCCATAGCTGGGGGTGGGGAGAAGAGGTGGAGTCATACGTTTCCTAAGAGTATTTGCATGTAAGTGAACAAACCTAACTGGAATTGGAACTCAGCTCTCCAATTAACAATTCCAAGTCATTATCCACACATCCAAACTTACAGCATCTCATAAACCAAGGTGGTCACCCATCTAGGTACTGACCAGGTTCGACGTTGCTTTATGTTAGTGATTGTATGGTAACCAGTATTTCAATGTGATATGGCCATAAGATCCTAAATACAGGGGGAATCTCCTGTACCCCACCCCCGATACCGAAAGCATTTTTTCTTCATTCTTTGTCCCAAAAATTTCAGCTGTTTCTTTTTTATTTTAAGTGTCCTTTTTGTTTCCATTTGACAATTATGTCAAATAAAACATTAAAAAAATATTTGATACTTTGTTTATTGTATGAACGATTTAGTACCTCTTCTATCCCATAATAGTTGCTACATTTGCATACAGATTTTGTACATAAAATGTAACAACTATTATGGGATAAAGATGATAAAAAGTCTTTATCAAATGAGTATTACATACCTTAAATGCAACAACTGGGTGGAGGTAGTAAAAGCAATTTTTTTTTAATGTTTAAATTTTTCATGAAGTGGAATCTTAAAAAAAAAACATTTAAAAAAGTCTTTCCTTACACAAAAAGTAAAATTCTCTCTTTGTGAATCAATTTCAAGTCCTTTCATCAGCAAAGTGACGTTAATGAACTCGAGGTAGTTTTCTGAAAATCTACAACAAAAATGAAGAGATTACTCAAAGAGGTCTTCCTGGATTTTAATGATGTTGCATGTTTACAAGTTGCAATGATTAAATAATGAGACTTACTCCAAGTAAATAATGCCAATCTTGCAGCAAAAAAGAAATGGCTGCCATTGAATTTTCTTTTAAATCTTAAATATTTATTTTTTATGTTCCATCCTTTTTATCATCCCCTAAACTTTGGTAATTTAACTAAAAGGGTAGAAAAAAAACTCATCAAATTCTAATTTATTTAAATGCACACAAGATGTAATTGGTCCATAATAATAGGTGATTAAATCTAGTTCTCAAGTTGGAGCCACTTGGCTCTCAGAAGAGGAATTGTGGATTTGATTTAATGGAAATTCTTTTTTATTTGATTGCAATCAATAAAGCAATTTGGTTTCATAACCTGCTTCGATAATTACCACTCTAAATACATAATAGCCAAAAGAAATATTACTAGATGGTAATTTAGAATTGGGGAGAGAATTGCGGAAAGTTGGGGTCACAAGGGAAGGAATATGGCTTGGGACTTTGTGAGTGTGTTAACTGTATTGCAATAGTTGCTAATCTAGGGGAAAAGATTGCATTATATTGCTAATTTCCTTTTTTTTACTGGCAATGATTCCCAAAAAAGAGGCACTTGGCTCCCAAGGCAGGATTATATAAGAACTAGCAGTAGAGCCCGGCATTGCCCGGGGATGTAACAGTAAGAGATAGATCAAGTATCGACCATCATAAAGACTGAAAAATAAAATTGACAAAGATTATTGTTTAAGGTTGATGGACACGCATGTCTTAATTAGTTTTTTGTTTTTTTTGTTTTTACGAATTGGTCAAACTCAAACAAAAACATTGTTTTCAATCGTTATGAGTCTACCAATTGAATAGAATTTTATTATAAACAATTGTCTTGTAAATGGAATTTTTAAAGTATTCTGAATGTAAAAAAATAAGGAAAAAAAGTGTGCAAGACAATAAGAAACACTACCTGCCAAAAAAAAGTGAAGTTTTTTGTTGAAATCGGTTGAAAAATGTAGGAAACCGATCCCATATATAAACACACACACACACAACCAACCTGGGTTTTATAAGTATAATTTGATATGAGTTGTCCCCTTTCATTCTGGCGACAGAATTGTGTTTTCAAATTGATTCCGTGCAAAAACAATTGTGTTTTTTCAATTTTTGCACTGTCAGAACCATTTAAGGTAATTTTACGTAGTCTTGTGAAGTTTTGTTGAAATCGGTTGAAAAAAATTTAGGAATCCGATCCAATATATAAACGTACAGACACACACACACACAATCTGTGTTTTATAATAAGTAAGATAATGGTGAAAAAATTATTAGATGAGAATACAAAATGAGAAATGTGACTTGGAACTCTGTGAATCATTGAAAAGATCCAAAGTTCCTTTTCCCAAAGATACCTGCTTTGTAGTTTATAAAGAGTATTTAATAAAAATAATTAAAAGAAAAAAGAAAAGAAATGTAGTTGGATTTGGAAAATAGTTGAAATGCAAACTTTAAAAATAGGTGATTTCTGTAATTATCTTTTTATTCTCTTCCTTTGTTAACATGACAACTGATTGAATTCATTTGGTGAACATCTGCAAATAGAAAATTGAAATTTTACTTAGACAACTACAAAATTGAATCACAGAGTCATCTAAAGATAAAACATATTTAGATAGATCTTAATAAGTGAACCCTAATTGGTTTTGTAAATTAACTGAGTGATTTGTTTTTTATGATTTATCAATCCTTTTTGTGTTATTTAAAGCCAAAATATATTTTGGATTATAAGAATAATATTTTTTTTGGAATGAATATTGCATCAACAATTTTTTTTGGAGAATAATGATTTTTCCTGCTACAAGTCTTACTATTTAACTCATAACTGTGGGGGAGATGGATTCAAACCTTTCTCAATGGTATTTACACATAAGTGAATTTAACATACTTGAGTTCAGAGTTGGTTACCTGAAGCCACTATCCACACCACCTGCACATCCAGTTTGGTTAAATAAGTCTAAGAAAATACTGTACTTATGAAAATGATATTAAACACATACAATGAATATAATTATTCATACATTATTTCATGAAATCTATTAGAGTGTATCAAAAGTATTTTCATTATTTACAGACCTTTACTCCAAAGCTTATTTCATGTACACATCTGAAGACTATCTATGATTCCACTATATTATTATATATAAAGATATGGGAAAAGATGATATATAGATTTACATAAATCAGAACAATGATAGGAAAATTAATAACAAAGTGGAAAAAAAGTTTGTGTGTATGCATGTTTCATCCTTCAGGACTTCATTTGAAATAAAGTAATATTTTTATTGATGTAATTATATATGCACACGAAGGAGAGGGGGAATATAAAAATGCACACATTGGTTATAATTATACATAGGAAACACTGAAAATGTTGGGATGTTGAAATTTAAAAAATAAATTTTTAATTTAAGAATTTAAAATTTCAGATTGATTTGTTCTTTATGATTTATCAAACCTTTTGTTTGTTATTTAAAACTGAAACATATTTTTGATTTTAAGAATAATTTTTTTTTTTGAGTGAATATCATTTTAACAATTTTTTTTTTTTTTGAGAACAATGATTTTTCCTGATGCAAGTTCTACCATTTAACCCATACCTAGGAGGAGATGATGGATTTGTATTTTACCATGGTTTGTAAGTGAATGTAATGTACTCAACTAGAATTAAAACCCAGATCTCTGATTTCTCATTCTGAGCCACTATCCATCACACCACTTGCACACCCTGAAATTTCTTGAATGTGTAGGCTGGTAGATATAATTCACATTGTTTAAAAAAACAGGGTGTCAAATCAAACATATATATCCACTAAAAATAACATTTAAAGTAATAAGTATTATGTATTAAAGATATAACTACAGGCAAATAGTTTCCCTATTTTTAAGAAAGATGATATTCATGGGAGAAGGGTTTACCTGACAAATAAATACCCAAACAATAGGAGTCATTTCTTTATGGAGGTTGGAATAAGTATTTTTAAAAAGCTCAATCTTGTTCTTCCTCTTCTTCTTCATCAGGAACACACTGTAAATATCAGAAAATATATTTAACAAACTTAGATTAGTCTGGTTTGTTTTGTTTTGTAGCTTATCAACCTCAATGCGTCATTTAATGTTGACAACTTTTTTTTTTCCCTGGTAATATTTTTGTTTTGTCAAAAATCTATTTCTGTTAATATTTTTTTCCTCAAAAATGTATAGCTGGTAATATTTTTTCAAAAGTGTATAGCTGGTAATATTATTTTTTCAAAAACATATTGTCAGAGACCTTGCTGTTGGATGTAGTTTATCGTCTTACCCAGGACGCGGATGTAGTTTATCGTCATACCCAGGACGTGGATGTGGTTTATCGTCATACCCAGGACGCAGATGTAGTCTGGGTGTTAACTATTTGCCCGTAGCTGGGACCCTAACAGATGCTACCACCCCGGGTCAGGGTGGACCTGGGAACACCAGCAATTAAGAGGTGGTTCCACACTCCTCAAAACCTCCTGATCAGAGGCCTTGCTGTTGGACGTAGTTTATTGTCTTACCCAGGATTGTTAGATTAGTCTGGTACAAGGCTAAAATTGTGAGACATCTAGTGAGAATCTTTTATGGGATCTTACCCATAATAACATAATGGACTATTCCATATGTAATAAATACTGCACCTCAAAAGGAAGCAGAGAGTTCAGTCCGAAGTCTGGAGTGAGGTCTGTCAGAAGTCTGCCTGTCAGTCAGTCGAGTCAGAGGCAGTCCGAAACAGAGTCACGTTCAGACAATTACTACTAAACCTGATTGTTCGTACTAACACTTTCTACTTCTCTGTATATATTCCTGTTTGTAATATATCTGTGTTATTCTACATCCGTGTTCGAGTTCTTCTTTATTGGTTCTACCTTGGACTATCACCGTGGTACAAGGAACCGGACCATAACAGAATCAAAGCAAATTGTAAAAAAAAAACAAATTCCATTAAATTTTCCAGTATCTTAGAAGCAACATTTTCTAGGCTAAGCAATAAGGAAGAGTCCTATTAAATGAAGAGAAACTTAAATAAATGTAAATGTAAATGCATAATTTACAGTGCATAAAATGCAGGCCTTGCAAGGCTTGCAAACAGGACAAATCTGTATAAATTAAGAGAAACCTTATAAGTAATAAACCTAAATATCTAATCTTCAGTGTGTCAGATACTTGTTTTGCAAGACTTAATAAACAGGACAAATCCAATTAAATTAAGAGAAACTGTAAAAGAAACAATACACAATTTCTGGTTGATAAGAGTCTTGTTTTGTAAGGCTAATAATTTAATAGATTTGTTATATTTTATAAACCTTGGAAACCTTTATCTGCCAGAAATTATCTAATTGCTGCTTCTTTTAAAATTCCTCTTAATTTAATGGGATTTGTCCCATTTAACAAAAACATCTATAAAAACTAGTAACTACATAATTTCTAGCAGATAAAAGGCATATTTTGCAAGACTTAGGAATATCACTATTCAGAGTTGAACAAAAGCCAAATTCATAAAATTGCATAAAACTTCTAAAAATTCTTATATATACAGAGCTAATATTTAAGATTTTTCCTTCACTTTAGTATCAGAATATGTGAATTTTTTTCAGGAGATTGTGAAAAAGTGTGCTGGGAAATTTTATTTTTAAATTGAATGATTTGATACAAAATGGCCGTCAAGCACTTTTTTTAATTATAATACAGTTCCTTTTAGGCACACAAAATATTCTCCAAACCTACATTGCTCTTTCAAAATTAAAGACATACTTTTCAGCAATCATTGTGAAACTGTCAATCAAGGGGAGTGGGTGAAGATTATTCTACTTTTGTGGTCAGGGAACACTCAAAAGTTTTTTTTCATATAAATTAATGTGCCCCTTAAACACTACTATCAAACCTTTGTAATCTGTAATTTTGGATAGAGAGGGAAAATGTATGTGGGAGTGCTGAAAAGTTCTCAGTGTGACCAAACAGTTCCAAAAATATGTTTTGTTTGGTCAGATTTTAGAAATCACACCATTTCTTGCCCAAATAAGAACTGATTGATGGTCATCTTTGAGATCAGCTGCCAGTTTTACTTTTTCAAACCTATTGAACTTACTATTAAGACACAAGTAAATAGTTGTGTCATCAGCAAAAATACTGATGACATTGGGAAGGTAACTGATGAAAATAAGCAACAAAATAAGTTCAAAGATAGAGCTTTGGAGGAACCCCACATTAATGTAGAAGGATCTAGAAGAGTGGCCATTTAACATGACTTTCATTACATGATTTGTTAAGAAAGTTTGGATCAAACTGAAAATTTAGTTTGCGACAACATACCCCTTCAGCTTATGAAGAAGATCAGCGTGTCAAATGCCTTTGTGATATATAAAGCCAGAGTTTTGCCATTCTTACCTAAAGCTTGATATACTCTTTCAGTGATAACCATTAATATATCAGCAGTGGACCTAGAGAAGTGAAAGCTATATTGTTTGTCTGAAAGAAGTCCATGTGAAGTGAGATATTTAACCAATTTGGAGCCTTTAGCAAGAAACAGCAATGTTGTAGATTTTAGAAAGAACCGGACCCAGTTCAGGAGCACATTTCTTTAGGACAATTGCAGGGATACTATCAAGCCTGCATGTCTTGTGGGGATCTAGTTTGGAGATGATAGCAGACACTATGGATGGAGTTATATGGATATAGTAGAGATTCAGTTGTAAGCAGAAAATCAGGCAAAGATACTCCAGAAGAGTTGAGAGTAGAATTGGAAAGGGATTTGCATGCAAAGCATTCTGCTTTTTCAACATTAGATGACAGCACTTTAAACTTATTGAAGAGGAGGGATTGAACTCTTACAGAGCCACCAGTAATTATGAAAGGCAAACATGTGAGAGGCTATATGGTGTCTCATTTTATAAGGGAACAGTGACTCAGCCTCATTGAGCACATTATTACGAGTGGATACAAAGAGGTGTCTGTTATGGCCCAAACTATCATGTTGGTATAACTAAAAAAAATGATTCCAGTGGGTTATAGCAGCTGAACAGTCATGAGTTAACCAAGGAGTAGATTGCAGTTTCACTTTGTACTTCCATGATGCCACAAAAGCATTGATACTGGCTTTTACCCAGGAAAAAATCTTGGTGGCACAATTTTCAGTGGGAAGATTAAGGATTTCACTCCAAGGGGTGTCATGAAGAAAAACATGAAATGAGTCCCTATCAGAGCATTGATAATAAAATTTTGTTTTGTGAATAAGTTGGTTGGGTTTTATGGCTTATCAACCACTGTAGGTCAATTAATGCTAAATTAAGTTAGATACACACACACACACACACACACACATATATTAAATATATTGTACTATTAAACGTATAGCTGGCAACATTATTTTTTCAGAAATGTATAGCTGGCAACATTATTTTTTCAGAAACGTATAGCTGGCAACATTATTTTTTCAAAAATGTATAGCTGGCAACATTATTTTTTCAAAAACGTATAGCTGGCAACATGATTTTTCCAAAAATGTATAGCTGGCAACATTATTTTTTCAAAAACGTATAGCTGGCAACATTATTTTTTCAAAAACATATTATTAGGGGCCTTGCTGTTGGACGTAGTTCATCATCATATCCAAGACGCGGATTTAGTTTATTGCCATACCCAGGACGCAGATGTGGGTAAGGTCTGAAAAAAACTAGGAGTTCACTATTTGCCTATAGCTGGGACCCCAACAGGTGCTACCACCCCGGGTCAGGGTGGACCTGGGAACACCAGCAATTAAGAGGTGGTTCCACACTCCTCAAAACCTCCTGATCAGAGGCCTTGCTGTTGGATGGAGTTTAACGTCATACCCAGAACAGTTTTGTGAGTAGGGGGTTCTTTCCTAATTAAATGAGTGGAAAGAAATATCTAGGTACTCCCACGTGATCCAAGTTGTCAAGAGGACAAGACTGCGATGTATGACAAGAGTCTGGAGAGGAGGTAAGGAACAGATCAAGTAAAGAAATGTGTCAGTCAGAATTACTAGAGAAAAAAGGTAGGGAAATCTACTATTTGACTAAGAGGTTGAGTAACTGCTTGAGAAGCCTAGGGAGAAGATCTCAGGGTATGACATGATTGGGTAGTGACTGAAAAAATACCCCAAGTGTTGAGTCATGCCTTGTGAGTGAAACTGGAAAGATGAAAATGTTTGTAAGCTGCCAATGATTGTGTTAACAGAAAATCACACTTCAACATGACCAAAGATTTCAGTGTACTAGGCTTGTTCAACCGCTAATCATGCCAAATTATGTGCTCTCTCTAAGAAACTTTTATTAAGGTCTGCTCAGCATAGTTAGTGTATAAACCACAAAAAGAAAGACAAATGTGCCTGAGCAGAACAACAGGGATTAGCTAGTCATCCTAAGAGGTGTAAATGAAAAAGGTGGCAGTTATATATATATATATATATATATATATATATAAATAATAATAATAAATGCAAGTGTCAGTGTGTCATGCAAATCTTTAACTTTCAAGAGATCATTTTGGATTCCCAATTTTCCATTACTGTGATTGTTTTCAGAGATATTTTACGTGAAATTACTGTGTTTTGAAACTGAAACACAAGTTCAGTTTCAAAACATAGTAATTTCTGTGTTGCGATGGAATCATATTTTTAAAAAATAATTATAATTTTAAGCTCTATTTCTGTATCGAGCACTGTTTTTTTTAAAATAACATAACTACTATAGAACTTCGAATCATTAATCTAACTGTTCTTTCCTATTACATCAATATCATGCACACACACATTTTATATATATATATATATATATATATATATATATGATAAAATATAGTTTTAAGGTATGCTATATTTATGGGTTAAAGTGCTTAATATCAAGGATAGAGTGTTTGTAAATATAAAAGTGGACATTGAAGTCAACACCCAGTATGATTGTGTATAAGCATGAAACAGACCATCACTGTTGGGTGTTGATTTCAATGTTCACACACACACACACACATATATATATATATATATATATATATATATATAAAAGTGAACATAGAAATCAATCAACACTTAGAGGCGACAGTCTGTTTTCATGCTATATGCAATCGTAGGAAGACTATATTTCTTATATATATATATATATATATATATATATATGAAGAAATATAGTTTTTAAGGTGTGCTATATTTATGGGATAAAGTGCTCAATATCAGAGATAAATAGAGCATATGTAAATATAAAAGTGAACATTGAAGTCAACATTCAGAGGTGACAGACTGTTTCATGCTAGACGCAATGTGGTCTGACATCTAGCATGAAACAGTTTGTCACCTCTGAGTGTTGACTTCAATGTTCACTTTTATATTTATATATGTATGTGTGTGTGTGTGTGTATGTGTAAGTATATAAAAAACTGAGTCACATGTTGAGTCACTGTACCAGAGTATAGAAAAACTACAAAATAGTATTGAATACTAAGAATTCAAGGAATTTGTGGAAAAGTGTTCAAGTTAACTGGTGGGCTGGAATGATGCATAAACATTCACAAAAATAAACCTAACGACAACAAAATATATGTGTCTCATGTCTGCTAACATTGTGCCAGAGGTTTTAAATGCCTGTTCAAGTCACAACTGACTCTTACAATGATGTCTGGTAATGGCTATACTCAAAATCAATTGATTGATATGTTTTTTTTCTAAGGCTTATTAACAACTCTTTGCAGGTTATTTAAAGCCAGGAAATATTTTTAGAATATAAGAATTTTTATTGAGATAATAATGGTTTAGTAATACAAGTCTTACTAATTAACTTGTAGCTGGAGGAGAAAAGGTGGATTCATGCCTTTCCCAAGCATATTTGCACATAAATGAATATCACAAATAGCCTTGGTTGGTAAACAGTCTAGGAGACAGAAAACTTTGAATTCCTAAACTTGGGTAGACAGGACTCATTAATGTGGAAGGATGTGGTTATCTAAGGGAATCAAAACTCCGACAGAAAACCAACCTCAGAGTACTGAGGTTGGGAATGAGCTACTTAGGAGGTAGAATGGCTGTTATAGAATGAGCCTTGTTTTCATGATAGAATAGGTTTTGTGGTTCTCACTCTTTGTGAAGATAAAACTGAGAAATTGGCATAACAGACACAGAAAATTTAATTGAAGATGAATGTTGAGGTTATTGATATTCATTCTAGAATGCTATTGCCACACCTCGTGGACAATTCAATTACAGAAACCACACCAGTGGCTTTATGTGAACAATCCCGAAGATCAAAAGGAGAAGAAATCATTTTATCAGCAGCTCAAAAAGAAGCATAAAGTTGATTTGAGTCATTAATACCAGCCGAGTATTGGGTAGTCTATTCTTATTAATTCAAAAAAATGCTAAGATTCATATGAAATTTTCTTTGAAATTTTTCCCTTTGATATCGCTGATCAAAATCCACTACCATTTTCTTGTAGTTTCTATTTCTAGGTTGGAAGTCAACAAAGTATACAAAAAAAAGTAGGGGAAGAACAGAGCAAAATAATACAAGAAATGAATAATGTAAGGCAAAGAAGCTATAAGACAATAGTAAAGTAATTATAAGATAGAAAAAAAAAACAATGTTCATACACAAAAGGGATACAGTCAAGTGATTATAGCATTCCAACTTCAAGGTAAGAAAGAAAAAATGTATGAGTAAAACCAAGAATTGTCAATTTTTATTGACTAAGAAAAAATCCCAGTATGCATCTATAGGATTTGTCTATAAATTTGGAGAGAAGGAATTTCTAGCACACAGCAGACATTTCTAGAGTTTGGAGACAAGAAAAACTAATGTTGGTAACCAGGGCTGGTGCAAGAGTCTCATAGCCCCCCACCCAATCTATAATACTGGGCCCCCACTCTACTACATCACAATTTTCCTAAGATAGTATTCCTAGAAAATACAAATTTTATTGTAACTTAATTATGTACAATAATGGATCATATACAATATAGGTTAAAAATTCAACTAGAAATGTATCTAAATATTAGGTTGTCACACATGAAATGATGCACTTTATAGGAAATGAATAAAACCCTTCTGAAATATTAAATAACTAATTTATTTAGTTGAAATAGGCACCATGTTGATGAATGACTGTTCTCCAACGTATCTCTAAATTCTTGATCCCATCTTTAAAAATATTTCTCATCCTTTGATGTGATAAACAGTTCAAATGTTTTGATTACCTCTCCCTTATTGGAGAACATTTTATTGCATATGAAGAGCTCAAAATGCATAAGCGATAATCAGTAGGAGAGATGTCAGCTGAATATGGAGGATGAGGTAAAATTTCTTAATTCAGGCTATGCAGCTTTTGGAGAGTTGATTGAGAAGCATACAGCTGTGTGTTATCATGCAACAAAGTTGGGCCATCCCTATTCAAAAGTCTAGGACATTTCTTTTTCGATATTTCATGCACATACTCAATATCTCCACAATACGAGATTGCTGTTATTGTTTCCCCTTGTGGCAAGAATGAATAAAACCCTTTGAAAGACCACCATTCAGTATCCATTAACCTTTTAGGATGCAGTGGAGGTTTTCGGTATTGTTTTGGTGATTCTCCTGCATCTAACCACTTGCTTACTCTCTTACTGTTGTCAAAGAGTATCCATTTCTCATTGCATGTAATGATTTGATGCTAAAATGGTTCTTTTTCCAGTTGGGAAAGCAACAGAGAGTCCACCTCAAAGCGACAAGCTTTTTTGAGTCTCATTCAATTCATGTTTCTTTACTTTTCCAATTGCTTTCAAATACCGAGATGTTTTGAGTTCTGATCAAAGTTTTCAGACTATAGTTCTCATATTTTAATCAACCAAAGCATTCAATTGATCATATCTGATAATAACCGATTGTGATCTTCCCCTTGGCTTATTTTCAAGACTATAATCTCCCAAACAAAACTTCTGAAACCATTTCTGTACAGTTCTGATTTCAACAATACTATTACCAAAGGCTACCTTGATATTCCAAAATGCTTCAGAGGTACAATGACCCAGTAAGATTACTCAACATTGTTTCATTGTAATTGTAATCATTCTCATATTGAAAGAAAAATTATCTGGAAAGAAAAAGAGTCAGGAATAAGTCAAGATATTTTTTTTATATACTAAGGAGGTTACTTTGTTAGATAACTGGATCAACAACCAACCAAAAAATGTGTCATTTCAAGTGTGACAAAACTAATAGAAATTAGAGACATGTCATAATAGTTCATTGAATCTTAAATAAATCAACAATGTTTTGTGGCAATTTTTAACATTAACTTAAGATTTTTCTTGTTAAAATGTAGAATAATTTAACACAGTGAACTTTATGGATGTAAATAGTGAATATTTTTATAGTGTTTTTTTGAGATTTAGCATATGAGCTAAATAAATTCATAGATTTGGACACAAAAAAAAATGCAGAATGATGTAAAAATCTGCAAAAATTTTTAATCCTTTAATAATAGTCAGTTGTACTTAGTTTAATTTTTAACATATATAAGATAGGTAGAAAAAAGCAAATGTTTATAAGGTAGTGAAGATCCCAAATCACTGCCTGGGGCCCCTAATCTGGCTTGGCCTCACTTTGATCAGGGGTTTGGGGGTAGTATGCACTGGTCCTGTTGTTAACTAATTACAAACTTACATAATAAAACAACAGGAACCAGTGTTGGTAAGTAATTTCAGTAGAAAAATTCAATTGGACAAACTTACATAAAATTCTACAAAGCACACTTGACCATCTTCATTCTTGATCATATACTGAAGTGATAAAAATCCCCTGTTATCCATTCGAATGGAGACTCGTGATGAGATGGATAGGGCCTTTACTGATGGCTTCAACAGAGAAATCTTATACCTGTAGGAAAAGAAGAGAAAGAAATGAGAGATTAAATAAGAGGAAGATAGAATGAAAAAGAAAGACAGAAAAAGAAAAAATCAAGAGAGGAAGACTTGATAAGAGAAAAATAAATATGAATGAGGAAAGAAAAGAAGACAGGCTGATATAATGAGAGTGGAAATATAAAGCAGAAAGATTGAGGGGGAGAGAAAAGAGATTAAAGTAAAAGAAGAGAGACAGAGAGTAAATAGAGAAAGGATGATGCAAAATGAAAAAATTTATTCAGAGAGGGAGAGAGTAAGAGAAAGAAAATGAGAAAAAGAAAGTAGAACAAAGAGAGAAAGAGGAAAAGTGAAAAAGAAGAGGAATAATGGAGTAAGAAAGATATAAATCTCAAGATAAACATTATTTCCTTAAGTGCCATGGCTATAGGACATCGTCTGCTTTACTGTTATTTAACCCATAGATGGGATGAGGGGATAAAGAGATGGGTTGATACCTTTTCCAAGGCAATTTGTGTGTAAGTAAATGTAATGTACTCAAATGGAATTCAAGCATGACTCTCCAATGAAACACTGAGTCATTTCGATTCATTTTCTCTTTGGTATTTTTATGACATTTTGGTTGATATACTCTCCAGCCTTGCTTAGGTGTGTGTTGTATTCTGCAGGAAATTATTTCAGAAGAAAATTGATTGAGATTTAAAACAGGAAAAAAGATAATAATAAAGTACCTTATGAGACAAGACCTCGTGGCTTAGTGTTAGTGAGGTTCATCTGGTTAAGACATCAACACCTGGGTCAGAAAGGATGAAAATTGAAGCGGCAAAGAACTGATGCTTCTAAATTTTTAATTTCTGTAGAAAGGATACTGGACATGACAATGTGAATTCAAAAAGGATCCTCTTATTAAATATGAGAGACACCTGATGGGTGCTGGAGGGTATCACAACTAAGTAAGAATGACCTGGGTTCAAATATCACCATGGTCAATTTGTCAGGGAGGTGAGTTTTTGATGATATCCCAGTGTGTGGTACCATTTGAAAGTGCCTGAAAACCCATGCCACAGGTTGACCCAAGCCTTGTAAGTGAAATTGGGTAGACAAAACTGTTTGGAAGCCATGAATGATTGCGCTAGCAATCTGGACTTGTTCAAACTGTTGATAATGCCAGATTGTGTGTTCACTCCAAGAAATAGGAAATAAGGTCTGCTCAGCATAAACCACAAGTGGGTTCTCTGGATGCTGAACTAGCAAAAATATGCCTGAGCAGGCATCTGCAACAGGAGTTGACTAGTTTCCCTAGCAGATGGGTATGCTAGGAAATAAGTAGCCAGCCATTATAGCAAGTAAAATATTGTGATAAAGACAAAAAAAAACAAGGAAATTAGTCTAATGTAAGAGCATCTCAGAAATCCAGAAGGAAACAGTGAGAAAGACAATCAAGATAGGGAAACTTTTCTAAATGAATAGGTGTATAATAAATAGTGTTCAATTCAGATGGAAAGAAAGACAAAGGATAAAGTGGACAAAATATTGTGATAAAGATAACAAAGATAAGGAAATTGGTCAAAAGTTACTGAGGTATAATAGTAACAGCATTTGTAAGAAATTCAAATTAAAAATCTCATGTTTAACATGATTTTTTTTTTCTTTGATTTTCTTTGACTTTTTTTTTTACAAGTTTTTGGCCAGTTACTTTTCCAGCCATCTTTAGCTGAAATTTTTATCTGGTGTTGACTCGTAAAAATTCACTGAGTATAAATTAAAATAAGATTTAGAAAAAAAAATCTGCAAAAACATAATTCAACATTTGTATTCTTGCTTTTATTATTTTATACCAAAGTAGTGGTGTGAGCAGGGTATAATACTATACCCAACTGATGATATTAATTACAAATAGTAATAATGTTACTGTAGTCAAAAGAGGCTGAAAAGTTCCCAGCCTCACTCATTTCCCCTGATCCAATGACTAAACACCAGATTCATTTTTTTTTTTGGAGGGGAGGGCTTTTTGGTGAGGCTGAGAACTTTTCAGCATTATTGTAAATAAATAGTCATGATAATTTACTTGCCTGTTCACCTGAGTTGATGTACAATGGAATGATTCTATCATATCTGAATCTTTCGGAAAGTCTGACTGAAATAAAAAAAAAATGTCAAGAACTCATTCACAACAAAACTCATTCATTTTGAGGTCATTTTTAGAATGATGCAAATTAATATGAATGAAATCAATTTCTTGTTTGTCATTCAGATATTGATTATCTCAAAGCACGATTTTTAAAGCTATATTTATCCTTCCTGTATTATAATGTAACCGTTTAAACTCTTGTTAAGTTTCAAAGAAACTCATTTGATAGAAACAAATTTTTCTGTTTATTAAATCAGGGTCAGGCACTATACAGTAGGTGAATGAGATCATCACTCCCCTCCCTCTCTGTTCCTGCCAGGTGTAGACGACCTCCACAACTTCCTGTCTTTTATTATTCTCAACAATAATACCTTTGTGCTTGATTCTCAATACATTTAAACGACTTTCCTTGTCTTTGATGTCTCCTATGGGCATTTAATTCTCAAAGCCTACTTTTCTCATTATGTTTTTGGAAAATTTCAATTGTCTTGTTCTGAGAGTTATCAGTAGTTTCCTTGTAGTTTATACAATGGGGTGCTGAAAATTTCTTGCCCTTCAAAACAAAAGCAAAAAAAAAAAAATGATTTTGGGGAAGTGGGTTGCCTCCCCACCATATTCTCTTTAAAACTTTTCTATTTTTCATATACTCTGTCCATGAAATTCTCCATATTTGTTGATAGAATCACAACTCATCTGCTTCAAGATTTCTTTTTATTATTTGTAATGTAAGTGTTTAATTTCCACTGGACGGGTTGTCATCACATTTATCATCAAACGTATATCACTTGAAGAAGGCCAGAGTGTACAATGGCCAAAACATTGTGATTATGACAATAAAGATGAGGAAAACAGTCTGAACAGTGTAAATAGTTACAATACCTCATCTCAGAAATATAGACAAATAATGATTTAGTGATACAAGTCTTACTAATTAACCCATAGCTGGGAGGAGAAGGGGTAGATTCATACCTTTCCTGAGAGTATTTGTGTGTAAGTGAATATAACAAACTCAACTGGAATTGTAACTTGGCTTTCCGATTAGTAATTCCAAGCCATTATCTATTACACCACTTGCACATCTGAGCTTAGAGCACCATCTAGGTACTGACCAGGCTTGATATTGCTTAACTTCAGTGATCATACAGGAACTGATGTTTCAATGTGATGTGGCCATAAGCCTTATGTTCAAAATAAGTCATTCAAGTGGACATAGCACAATGACAAAAGAAAATTTAGAAAATAGATGTTTTGCTGAAACTGTTGCTTAGACATAAATTTGATAGAATTAAAGAGAACTTCTATTACAATTTCTTTTTCTCTGCCCAGAAAGCAAATATTTGGCTAGTCATTAAAAAACAAATGTAGCTTTTAGTGTAAAGAAAGGTCATGTAGCTTGTAGTAGTGCACATGTAGCAAACAGGAATGAGACAAAAGAGGAACTGTTCTGATGAACTTTGCTCTTTAGTACTTAGTCTTTATGAATATAAACAGAGTACTAATTTGACACCATGACTGGTGTCAAAGGTCAAGTGTCAATCTAATTTTTATTTCTAAAGAAAGAAAAATATTTTTCATGTTAAAACAATGTGATACCGTGAATTTTCTGGTTTGTGTCACTGATGGAGAGAGTGAAGAGATTGTGTGAGAGGTGAAATTGTGTGCTTGGGTGGGATTGGTCATTAGATACAGTCTTAGGTCTGTTTAACTTGAGTGTTGTTTTTATTTAATAAAGGAATTATTAGTTGAAATGAGTGACACAAAGTAAATCTTTACAGGTCAGGTTGTTTTGATCAGGGATAAGGCACACTGTCAGATGATGGTGAAGATGACACCTGTGATAATTAGGTCAAATGAGATTGGGGAGGGGACACATGGAAAATGTTCCTGTGAAGGTGGATATGAGTGATGCAAGGCCACAATTTTGATTGGCCCACCAATGAGAGAAGGACTGGGATAGAGCTTCTCAGCTCCCCCTCTGATACATACAGACACAGGGGCCATTATTTTGATTGGACCACCAATCATATTGGGTTCTTGGGGTCTTTCCTTCCTCCCCTTCAAGGCATATGATACAAGACCTTTGGTCAAGCATTACTATTGGCTAGCCAATCATAGCAGTACAATTGCGGCATAAAAGCAGCTGCCGAAATAGCAGAAGTAAAATGATTGAAGGCTACATAGTTCATTGTTGAAATTTGGCAAAAGTTGGATAAGAGTTTCCCTCACTTGGTGTGAGTGAGAGGTGCTGACCTGGAGTGGTTGTTGGATGCTACTTAGGAAAGATGATTTGGGGCCTCTAACTGAATCATCAGTCATCCCAATCCATGTTTAAGGTAATTTAGAACATTATGATTTTCAGTTTTTGGTCTCCTTTTGGACATTTTTTCTTTTTAAACTTAACTAGTGTATGCAAGTATATAGGCCCACCCATTTTTGCCGTCCATTTTCCTTTCTTGTTTCCACCTACCACCTTTTTTAGGTGATGTCTTTGTTCTCTGGCAAGATCAGATATTCTTCAAGTCTGTCTTTTTCACCCAGTTAACCAAGATCTTCTGCCACACATTTTGCTTTTTGTGAGGGTCCTAATATTGATATTGTTTTGTTTATTTTCTTGTACACATATATTTTTCTCATTGTATATAATCATTGGGTTCTGATTTTTAACCCTTCCCCATGAATTGTATAATATGAACTTTCATTGAGTAAATGAGGTAAATTGGTGACCATGGTGCAACAGCTAAGAGTAAATGTGGTGTTATGGTGACAGGAAAATTGTAAGTACGAATGGGTCAATGAGTGAGATGAGCTAGTTTTGAGGTAAGATTAGAGAAGACCAGTCCTCCCCCACCCCATTTTAGCCCTTGAGGCACATTTTGTACTTTTGTACAAATAAATAATAAGATAGAACTGGTCTCGCCGCTAGTAGACCAACACTCTGCCTGTGAGATGACTGTGGTATCTTAATCAGCTAAAGACCTTTTCTCTATGCTACTTTTTGAACTACCTTGATCTGCTGCTTTCATTTAAATAGTAGAACAACTCTGGGCTGTTTACATCCACCAGTCAACCTATTCCTCCCAGCTTAAGAATTTCTTATACAGGGAAACTTCAAATCCTTTTTGTCTATGTATTCATGATATTAATCATAGTATCATTAATAAAAGTTGTTATTTTTACCCTTGTAAAGCATAGAAAGGATAGAGAGGAATCAAATCTGATCTTCAATAATTCCTCACCGATATACCTGTGGATACAGAAACACAACATGTGGACACAGGATTGCTACAGAACACCAGTGACAGACCAATGGACATAAACAAAAGTAAGAGTGGCATTCAGCAAAGCGCGCAGGAACAGGGCCACACTAGATTGGTGAATAGGTCTCATCATTTTACAGCTAAAATGACTAGATGTAATCATAAGTTCTATGCTAACAGTTTCTTCTATTGCACTTGCCCCTTGCGGAAATCTGATTGTCAAAAATTTAAATACAATGTTAATTGTTATCGTCTGTCATCTTAATTCTTGTTCTTTTATTTTCTTCTCTCTTTAATAGCATATTTTTCTCATGTTCTCTCACACTCAGTAACCCTTTGCATATTAGTGGTTTTATTGCCTTGCCCAGGGCGAAATGATTAAAAAAACTTAGAGATAAGTTGGTAGGAACAGTAATGTCATCTTTTTATTCTTTTAATTGTTTCACCCTAAGCAAGGTAATAAAGCTACTAAGACACAAGAAGTTTCTGAGTGTTACAGTATGAGAAGAAAAAAAAGAACACTATTAAGGAGGGAGAGAGAGAACAATAAAAGAATTGGAATTAAAAAAAAACAGAAGATAACAATTGACATTGCATTTAAATTTTTAAAGATCAAAGTTGACTGGGAAACAAGAAGCCAGAAGAGAGTTCCACAAGTGAGAAGTGCAATCTAGAGTTTAAACTAATATCTAAATAATGTTTAGTAGTTTAGTAGTAGTAGTGAGATGTACTAGTTCAGTTTAGTTTCAAAACTACATACAAATTGTATAATATAATATGGATGTAGCAATCAAAATGTAACATGTGGACTAATGAAAAACAGAAAACTTGAATCTTTCATTATTTAACCTTACATTTTATTCACTTCAGTACTTTGCCAGTTACTCTTAGCAAGTCTGTGTTTATTACCCCATGGATCTGATGTGTGGACCTTATATTCTCATCTGGGATGTATGTGAGACTGCCAAATGCCTCTGGAGCAGCTGTTTATATATCCATCTGTCCAACAGGTTTTTTTCATGTGGGCACATATCAGGTGCAGCCTTGCCCACAGATGTTTATTTCTCAGGGTCACCACTGATAATGGGTGAATTACAGATCCCTATACCTGGTTGGCACTCATACCTGGTTAATTCTACACCTGGCTTTCATGATAGGTGTGAAACTGAGTGCAAAGCCTATTCTGACATGATATGGAGTGATGAAAAAATTGCAAAATATTACTTTTTGTATTGATCTTTGACCTTAGAAATATGTAGAATAAAAATGAATTTTCCAAAATAAAATTTTTTCTAGTGGCCAAATCTCCATTGTAAAGTGCACTTGTACCAAAAAGGATTAAGTGTTCAATCATTTGTGCCAAAATATGTCTCTCAATAGCTAAACCAAACTGTCAAGTTCAGGGAGTCTAACTGTAGTCATAATATCCATTAGGGAAGATATTTTATATTTAAAATATTGACCATGTAATCTTTTACATGCCACGTCCCATCGTGGACAATCATCAAACTTGTTTAGTAGGTTACTTGCTGTTTCCCCCTGCCCCACCTACCTTGACTATGTCCTGTGTGTGTTAAATTTGCCAAATTCTCTTTCCTCATAATGTGTCACAGAAATTTCAATTTTCTATTTTTAAGTACAAGTATCCTTTTTGTTTCCATTTTCTTTAAAACTTCCTTGTTGCTCATATGTTCTGTGCATAGTATTCTCAGCATCCTTCTGTAGAACCATATTTTTGCTACTTCATGTTTTCTCTTCATCTTCACTGCTATATAAGAGGATTGATATTGCATAACAGTTCAACACTCTTTTCTTTGTATCTAATGAGATTTTCCTGTTTCTTAATACTGTGTTTAGTTTTGGTAAGGCTTCTTTAATTATTCCATTGCAACTTGGAATTCTGTTACATTCTCTGTCATCTGTTAAAACACTTACCAGATAGTTAAATTTTAGTCCTTGTTTGATTTTGACAACTTCAATTGGTCGCTTGTGTAACTATCCTTATACAGTAAGAGATTTGAAAGTATGAAATTGATATCAGGTATCATGACATGTACCAATAAGTTACTAGTGACTAGAACAGAACTCACGTGTGCCCTTCCTGCATTTCCAAAAGTGGACAGTCGGAAATGGGGTGGGTCTGGCGATAACAGGAATTCCAAGACATTACTGGTCATGTCCAATTCACTGAATGCTTCTCGAAGACACTCAGACTGAAGAAAGAGAGAAAAAAATGTCAAAATCAAACATAAAAATTATTAAAATGTATTCTTTTGTTGCACTGATCTCTTTGTTGTCTACCTAAAATAGGTATTGGGATGCATAAAATATAGAATTATATACATAATAGCTTTGATCTGTCAATATTGCATGCATTAATTCCTGGCCATTAACAATCCCTTTCTTCTTAATTTTCAATGCATTTTTATAGAAAAATTCTGAATAGTACATTTATATAACACATATAATAGTGTTATTCTACCAAAAATGTTTGTATTGATTCCCAACCATTAACAATCCCTTTCTTTCTGATTTTCATTCCATATCTATAATAATTAGCAATGCATTTATATATATATATATATATATATATATAGGTAACCATACTCGTCTTGAAAAACCTTTGAATTTTTGATTTGCCAATAATAAAATCAATCTTGAAGGAAAAAAAGGTTTTAAAAAAAGAAAGAACTAGAAACATGAAAGTCTATCGAAAAAAATCCCACAGATACAGGTTTAAAGCCCAAAGGAAAAAAACCCGACACGAGTAAACAACTAACTAAATAAACCTAGTGAGCCAGACAAACCTACCCAGGTCTCACCTAAGCGGATCGTCAGAGAAAGCTGGTTCTCTGTCAGCTTTCCTGGTGATCTGCTTAGGTGAAACCCGGGTAGGTTTGTCTGGCTTACTAGGTTTTTATATATATATATATATATATATATATATATATATATATTAATTTAAATAAAAACAGACCACTTTAAGATTCCATGTAATAAATTATTTCATCACAGCCCTTTTATTTAAATTATTTGCTCTGATTTTACATTGAGCTCTCTGGATTTTATCCTCCTTAGGTTTACCCATACGGATTACCTAGTTTTTCATAAACTATATATATTTATATATATATATATGTATATTAATAGTAGTACTTGGATAGCTCAACTTGCAGATATGTCAGGACAAATTGGTACCCGAGAAAAAAATTGAAAATAAAAAAAGAAAGAACTAAAAACATCAGAACAAGACAAAACAAATCACCAAGTGCTTTAAGTCCTTAGTCCAAAGAAAAAAACACCAAACAAATAGACTAAAACGCAGAGCACTCAATACGCTAAGTAGAGTGGTAAACTAGAATAAATCCTAATGAGCTAGCCAAACCTACCTAGGTTTCACCTAAACAGATCTTCAGGGTAAACTGGCTATTCTAGTTATATTATATATATATATATATATATATATATATATATATATATATATGTAATGGACTCTTCAGCCTTGGTTAGCAACCAGTCTAGGAGAAGGACAAGTCTAAATTCAAAATCAGTTAGGCATAGTGCTAGTAACTTCATCCCTTAAAAACCTACTTGCAATGAAAACCAGGGTGGCAACAGCTAGCATACTGAGAGCTGTGGCCCCAGACACCTCAGTGGAGTCTATGAAACTTGAGTGAATGAAAGTCTGTTAATAATGCTTGCATTAATTCCTAACCATTGATTAAATGCTTTGAAAAAAAACCTCTCCCTGCTTGACCATGTCTTCAGGGGTATAGCCATACTCACCACACTTGCCCTTTTGCAGGTTGATGAAGCTATTTAGCCTGTAGTTTGAGGTTTTGAATTCAGAGCTGTCCTTCTCCTAGACCAGTTGCCACTCAAGACTATAGACTGTCTGTCCTGTTATTTTCCCCATAGCTGGGGAGAGAAGAGATGGATTCATACCATTCCCAAGGCTATGTTTAAGGCTCAAGGCTAAAATGAAAATATCTACATACATGCTATAAATTTGGGGGTTTTGGTGGATTTTGAAAACTTCATTGTCAACTTGAGACATAAAATAATTGGAGAAGATTGGTTCAAGTAGGCTACCTATAATAACTCCATTTCTTTGAGTATATATGTTATTATTGTGGACATAACAGTGGACTTTATCTTTTTGCCTATATATTTACATTTTTAGATGTATTTTAAATATTTAGCTACAACTGAAATATGTCTAAAAACTTACAAGCTAAAGTCTTACAGTTTCTACGGTCTGATCCAGCGACCACTGCTTGACTGTTCCTGCTAAAGCTTAGATATGATGATTAGTGTTGCTATAATGCTACAAAACGTAAATTCATTACATTAACTCAGTTCCATTTACCAGGAGAAGAAGCCTGAAGCCAAGACTCAAAGATGAACCACTAACACTCAATCACCTTTGTAAGACAAAAATCATTGAAAGAACCCAAGAAAAGGTTTTCCTATTTGAGAATGTCCATAACAGTTGAGGAAGACTGAAGACCAATTTAATTGTAGGCCTAGCAACATCATTCATTGACTGTAGTAAATTCTTCTTTTTCTATGTGCTGTAGGTGATCATGGCTCTTCATAGCTCTCCACAACTTCCTGCCCTTTGTAGCTCTAAGTAAATTTTGTCCTTTTGTTATCTCTCCTAATCCCTGTTCTACCAACCATTTACACAAGTTCATTAGATTATTCAGTGCTTTCCTCTGTCACTCTTGTTTTCAACATGTCCTATGAATATCAAGATGCCCAAGCCTTCTTTCCTCATTGTAATAAGGAACAGAAGTAAAGAAGTATCTTGACAAAGACTTTAATAAACAGAGTGGCCCATGACAAGGCTAAGAGCAAATAAGAATACAAATAAAAGAGGATATATATATATATATATATATATATATATATATATATATAGTACAGATAATAATCTGTTGGTATACAAGTGAATCCTGATAATATAAAATATTAAAACTGATCCATAAAAAAAGAGCTTAATGTATTTATTATAACAGAGCATTAGTTACATAATCGAGAAATTCAAAATTATCTCCTGAGCTAATTTTGAATTTCTTTATTATGTAACACACATACATACTCGACTCTCTCCCTTCGAATTTGACATATGAGGGTCAAGCAGATCAGTTCTTAGGAAACCGACAGCCTGACAACAGCACATGAGATTTGATTATAGTGGTGAAGGTTTCGTGCAGGACCATCCACACTTTTTGAAGGGCTGAATACAGAGACCTGGTGCACTACATGCCACAAGGTCCCTAAACAATCCACCGCAAGTTTTGAATTCAGAGTTGTCCTTCTTCTAGACCAGTTGCCATCCAAGACTATAGAACCCAGTCTGTCCTGCTATTTACCCATAGCTGGAGGGAGAAGAAGAGGATTCACACCTTTCCCAATGGTATTAGCTCATAAGTGAATGTAATGGATTCGACTGGAATTCGAGCTCAGCTCTCCAATTCCTCAATCCAAGCCGCTATCCATTACTCCACCGTTACTCCTACACACACACACACACACATATATATATATATATATATATATATATATATATATATATATATATATATATGATTGTGTGGCTCATATAACTTTTCTTTATGTAGGATAGCCCCACAATGTGTCCATGAGAGTGTATCAGCAGGTGTATTATCCATCCCTGGTCTATAAGTAATTTCATATTTATAGTTCCCCAGTTCCATTCTCCATCTCTTGATCTCATTGTTTTTAATTTTTCCAGGTCTCTCAGTATTAAACGTGAAGTTCACCACCTGTTGGTCTGTAATGATGTTAAAGAGTCAACCAGATAAGTAGCGAGACCACCTTTTTACAGCTTCTATAATAACTGAAGCCTCCTTTTCTTCTGAAGCATACTTTCATTCAGTCGGTGTTAGTGATTGCGAAAAGAAAGCCACTGGACATCTGGCCTGATTCAAAGCAGCAGCAATTGCTGTATCAGAAGTGTCTGATTCAATTACTATGGGGATGTTTTCTTCAATAACGTGAAGTAAGGCACTTTTGATTTCTTCCATGGACTTACAATTTAAAGAGAACAAGTCAGCCATAATTGTTCTTACCCGAAAACTTTGATATCCATTGGGAATAATAAGAAAACAAAACAAGGAACCTGCAAAGAGCAGCTTTATCTTTAGGGATAGGTAATTCTTTAAGTGGGTGTAGTCAGTTAGTATCAGGTTTAAGTATCCCATGAGATATAGTGTAGCCAAGTAAATTAATAGAAGTGGTTGATAGGGAGGACTTTTTGTTGAAAGTAAGATTATGTAGTTTGGCTACCTCAAGAAATTTTTATTGTGCTCCTCTTGAGTCTTGCCAGCTACAACTATGTTATCTACGTAAGTACATGTTCCATGCAAGTTATTCCTTGTAATAATGTTGTCCATCATGTGCTGGAAGTAAGATACTCTGCTAGTGACCCCAAATGGAATATGGCAAAACTGACAAAATTTGCCATTAGCTTCAAACACAGTGTATAGTTTGTCTACCCCTTGAATGGGTACTGGGTGATATGAGCACTTTAAATGCAAAGAAGAGTAAATTTTATATTTAGAGATTTCTGAAGCCAGAATGTTCATTTGTGGTAGGGGGTAAGCATTGAGTCAAGTGAATCTATTAATAGTTCTACTATAATCCACAACTAATCTCTTTTTTATGTTATCAACAATTAAAATTTGAGCTCACCAAGGAGATGTACTTTCCTCAATTATTCTATCTATTAACATTTTATGAGCCTCAGTTTTAATAAAGTGGTTATTGGCAGTTCCAAATCACCCAAATTTTTTAGAAATAGGTTTGCAGTTAGGACAGAGATTCAAAAATAATGAAGGTATATCTACCATCACAAATGGTAGGCTACAAGCAGTTGAACTTGAAAAAGACAGGTTTTTCTTAGGACTGCCAAATGCAAAAGATACACTACAATGTTGGTTCATGAAGTCTTGCCTGATAGTTACATCACTACAATGATTGGGAAGGACACAAAGTATAACATTTAAATACCATTCACCTAATAAATTTAAATTGACAGTGCACTACCTTTTTATTGAAGTGTTAATAGACAACAAAGCCATGGACACATTCCCCACTGCAGGTTTTATTTTTATCTGGTGTCTTTTCACATAGTTGATTGAAATATAGTATCCAGAGCTACTGGTGTCTATTAGAGCAGTTGCCTGATTTTTGCCAATCAATACATACACTGTAGCCTGGCTTGATAAACTAGCTAGCATAGTAGTTGCAATATAAGATTGAATAAGTGAGGTGGCCAAAGTACCAACTGACTGAAATACTTTGGAAAAGTGCCCTTTTTTTGCATTTGTGATACATGGCCTCTCTGGCCAGGCACACTTTACAACTGTGACGTGATCCACCACAAATATAACATTTAATGCTTGTTAAGGCACATGCATCACTGACAAATGAATCTTTGTTTTCTGATGCTATGGCTCCCACAGTTGGTGAGAATGGATGTGAATATGATTCAGAATTTTTCTGTGTTAGGTATAGAGCTCTGGCTTGATTAACTGGTGTGTGTATATCAAAGGTTTTGTTTTATACAAGATACTGTTGAATGAAATTAAAGTGCAAGCTAGTAATGAAAACATCTCTAATGCAGCTGTCTTGGTTTTGAGCAGCAATAACCACTTTGAAACTGCATTCGTTAGCTAGTAGTTGTAACCCCTGAACACACTCATCAATATCTTTGTCTTCTATTTGTCCACATGTTGCGAGAACATGTCTGGCAAAGATTTTGTTTGTGGATTTCATGTATAATTCTTTGATGCAATTTACAGCAGATTCAAAAGTAGCATACTCAGCAATATGGTTTCAGATATCCAAGGGAATGCTATTAATTAATTTGTCTTGTTTATCATGTACAGCATCATTTGTAGTTTTTCATAGGAACAAAGTGAATGTCCGATACCAATAATTGAAGATTTCAGTCACAGAGAATGAATTAGAAGATACATCTCTCTTGGGTTTCAAAAGTTTGTCCATTTCATCCTTCAATCCACTCTGTTTATTAAATTGTAATAAGGAACAGAACTAAAGAAGTGCCTTGATGAAGGCTTTAATAAACAGAGTGGCCCATGACAAGGCTAAGAGCAAATAAGAATACAAAGAATACAAGTAAAAGAGGATAAGTATGTATATATATATGTTATATTCTCTGCTAATAGAAATATATACTTGAAAAACAAGGTGGATAAAAAAAATTTTATTGTAAAAACCAGTACAATAAGAATAAAGGTCACAGTTATGCACAAGGTTGTTGCAAATCAATCCAGTTGTGAGTCCTACTATTGGAAGGTCGGTAGTTCTTGTGTAAGCCTGAGTCATACTCAACAGAACCCAGCTAGTCTTTGTAGTCTGTTGACTTACAGCTACTTATAGGTAGTTACTACCTATAATGTAGTCACTCATGGGGGTGACAGGTTATTTCATTACATCAAAAAAAATATATATATATATATATATATATATATATATATAACAGAAAAAGGTGGATAGTTCCGGAAGAAGACAAACTGAAGGAAGTTAAGGCTTATGACAGTGCCCTAGAAATTTCAATTGTCTCTTTCTGATTCTAAGCATGAGTCCTTTTTGTTTCCCTTTTCTTCAGAACATCATTGCTCACATGTTCAGTATATGGTATTCTCAGCATCCTTCTGAAGAACCACATTTTTGTAGCTTCATCTCTTCTTCATCTATGAGGAGATTGATTATTCAACATTCATTGGCATATATATATATATATATATATAATATAAAAGTGAACGTAGAAGTCAACACTTAAAGGCGACAGTCTGTTTCATGCTAGATGCAATCAGTGGCCTGACAATTACAGTGTTGACTTCTATGTTCACTTGTATATTTACACACGCTCTATCTCTGATATTGAGCACTTTATCCCATAAATATAGCACATCTTAAGACTATATTTCTTCATATATATATATATATTTATATTACATAACAGTTCAGTACTTTTTTCTGTTCCTAAAGAAATTTTCCTGTTTCTTAATACTCCAATACACCTTTGGATTTCTGTGTTCCATGTTCTGTCCTCTGTTAAAACATTTCCTATATACCAATAAACCAGTGATCGTATGAGAATTGAATGGGTGTGGTCAAGAAGACCACAGCAATGAGAACATGGAATGGGTAATGTCAAATCTTGTAACCTTAAATGAATAAACACAGTATTGTTTTTATTATAAACAGGCATTTTTTTGTTTATCCTGCACTTTTCTTTTTCTTGTGACTGGATTCATTCAAGTTACAAATAACTTTGTCCAAAAATGTTCTCTAATATAAAAATGCAAATATCTGCAAAGGGATGTTGGAGAAGAAAAGGTTAAGAACCACAGTTCTAACCCACAAAATAGATGATCTATATCAGTAATTCTCTATCTTTTTCTTCATTACCCTAAAACATTCAACTGAAAGTCTTTTTTACCCAATGCAAGTAAACACTAACACAAAAGCATGTTTGTTAGTGCCTGTACTGGAGAAAAAAATGTTAGAAACATGCATATAGTAGCAAGTGAGAGAAGTACAGCCAGTGAGATGTTGGATAAAAAAGGATTGTTAATATAAAATTTTTTGTATTGTCAATATGGAGGATTTGAGCAGAATATCTCTTTGTGGGCAAGGGAAGTGACTTGGAGGATGGATAGAGTTGGTAGTGCTTGGAGTTGATGTGTGTGTTGGGTCAGTTGACCAAGGTCACTGATAGTGATGTTGAGAGGTTGCCAGTGGCAGATTTGTTGAAGCTTGCATGTTTACTACAATACTGTTTCAGTTGTTATGATTTGTGTTCTTAAAAGCAAATATGGTGGTGCATAAACTCATCTTTTTTCATGTTTTTTTCCTTTGGTGGCAACATTCGTGATTGCCTCTGCTTTATATTGGATTTTATATTTTTTCATGAGATTTATTTCGTGGGCTGGACGTGATGACTTGGAGCTCCTGCAAAGATGACAATTTTTTTTATTTTTGGTTTCGCTTTCTTAGCATTCACATCCAGCCAACATGTAGAGTGAATCAGAAAGAGCTCTAATTTGAAGCAGAGTATAACAAGATGAAAATTAAGGTTTGATTCTAATTTCTTCTTATTGATTGGGTATCTGTCAAAGAAGACTGATGGAAAAAATCAGTAGCACCAGGATCAAACACTAGGTCACAACAATCAGGGCACAAACAAGAATTCCACACAGGAACATCACAAGTATGGAACGAACACAGCCATGTCACCAGAAACACAAACAAAGATGAACAATTTTCAAATGACACTGGTTAACACAACCAGAACTCCTTGGTAACACATTGCCATCCCATTATATGGTCAACATGGCAAACTGCCAAACTATTTCTCCAAAAAATGTACATGCTTTTATGGAGCCTAAAACTTTAGAGGTTGGCTAGCAAATGAATTATTTGTATTGCTAACATCACTCAACTCACTTCCCAACTATCATGGAGCTGGTAAACATTTTCTTACTTCACAAGCAGACATTCTGGGGTTTGCACTGACTCTGTTCATGCAGAGACAGCACACTAAATGTTGTCTCTTTTTGATCAATGGGGGATGCTCCGTTTGCATTTCATTACCACTACAGAATTATAAATTCAGGAGTGAAGTTGAACTTTGTAATGGAAGCGCACACCCTTAAAAAAAATCATCAGGAAATCCTTCATGGTCTTATTGACCAAATCTGGAATAATTTATTCAAGTCTGAGAAACACTGAATTAGATGATCATAGTTCCCTAATGATTTGAGAATAGGTGGTGGGAAATTTTGCTCATAATATCTTCCAGATTTTAATAAGGACAATTTCAGATCTGACAGCAATTTGAAAAAAATTTTTCTGTCCTGAAAGAAAGCAGAATTTACCTTCATGATAATTTTATTAACGACATTTGTACTGCAGAAGTCAAAATCAAGGACCTCATCTGGTTCCATTGTTTTAATGCTGCAATCTGTAAGAACACCATCTTCTTCAAGCCTTGAGGAAAAGAAAAAGAAAAATCAAATCAAAAAGTATTTTTTCTGATATATATAATACATAAAAAGTTAATGGTCAGAGTTGAATTAGACAGGAAACAGTAAAAGTTTGGTAATCTTTAAATTGACCCAAAAAGTAGTTGTTTTGTACTTTAAGAGAAAATTATTATACATGGTTAAAAAAAAAGTGAAACATGATGTTTTTATTAGAAATTATAATTTGACATGAGCAAAATTTAATCATAAAATGCTTTTTGTCATAATAAACAAAAAGAAAAAAAGCATTTTATGATTAAATTTTGCTCATGTCAAAATATCCTCTTTTAGCCTTGATTACTACAGCACAAATTTTGTTGCAAAAGTTTCTCAAAGTATAACTTTGACAATTGAATGACTCTAAAGGCACTTTTTTCTTGTCAAGTTCATCACATGCTTATTCTGGGGGTTACTTCAAACTTTTAAACTGTAGTATATATATATATATATATATATATATATATATACACACACACACACACTAATGCAGGGAATCATAAATTATAATAAATTATGATAGAACTTATAAAACAGGTAAATATTTAATTTCTATCAACATAATAAACAAACCCAGAAAAACATGAAATAACTGATACTGACGAGATATTTGAGCAGATTTAATGGCCTTAATAGTGGGTGTGTGGTCAAATAGTTAGAATGCTAGTATTCTGACAATGAAATTTTGGTTCAAATCTCATGATGGTTGATTTGTTAAAGAAGTGATTAATATTGATTAATATCGGCCTGAGGCGAGAATCCCAGCATGCCATACCATTGGAAAGTGCCTGAAAACCACATTGCAGTTTTTAGCAGATCACATACCAATTATCACTCAAAATTCCTCGAAACAATTTATATTAAATCAAAACAACCATATTTATGCAAACACTAGGATTGGTTGTGATCTCTTTACAGATAAACTCATGTCAGTGTATTATTGATACACATGTATTTTCTTAATCATTGTTCTCTTTTTTTTGGATGGGGTGCACAATATTTTAATTTCCTTGATTGAGTCCTGATGAATGAGGAGCAAGAACTGGTTAACCCATTCTATAAGATTTTTATCTTTTCTCTTTTCCTTTTTGTATTATCAACTATTGTACTTGGAGTTTTCCTCTTCTTCCTTTTAATTATGTCCAATTTTATTGCATTAATGTATATAATCTTTGGTGGAGATGATAAGACAAAGTGCAAAATTTTATAAACAAGGCATTTCGCCAAGAGCATCTGCTCTTTCTGGTTTCCTCAGGTTAGAATGAAAGACAAAACTGTATATGAGGGAAATGCATTAGGACTATGAATCAAATTAAATTAGATTACTTTATCACATTCAATGTCCATTTAATGTGTCTGTAGGTTTCTTTGTTTTATATATATATATATATATATATATATATATATATTATGAAATGGACAAAGTCCAACAGACAATTATTTTAAGACATTTTTATATTTATACTTTCTTTTTTATAGATACAAATATTTAAATAAATGCTCTGTTTATAATAAAAAGTATTAACAACATTTACTGGCCTGAATGTCTGAGAAATTGTCATAGAAGATATGCATCCTCCGACAGGAATTGAACATGTAGCCTATACGGAACCGTCAAGTATGACCAAGACAATGATCAATTAAAACCTTAATTCACTTCTTTTTTTCCATATATTCTAATGTGTATCTGATTAACTGCTTGAAGAAACTACTGTTGCATTCAAGTACTGTAAATATGTAAAGTAGTTTTGCTGAAACATATATACATGTGCTTGTATGTATTTCATACATGTACATAATCATCAATATATCACATATATTTTTGTGACCAAACATCAGAATTAATGTTGGAAGAACTTCTTGAACATACCCAGAATTTGTCAGCAACCACTCAGAAATGCAAAAAAAAAAAAAATTGTTTCACATTATGCCACTAAAACACAAGGGGTTACTGAGGGTGAAAGAAAATGGGGAAGACGTTAATGAGGAGAAAGAAGGACAGTTTTCAGGAAGACAGAAGATGGTGACTGAAGCCAAAAGAGAGTTCAAATAGGTGAGACGTGTGTGAAAAGAAACTATAAGAATAAAATTTATGGTCACATCTAGCTATTTCAACAGTGAAACGATGAGACCTAACTGCCAATCTAGTACTATGCTTTTAAGGTATTTAGTATGATGTGTTTAAGGTATCAAAGAGGAAAACTCATCCAAACAATTGTCATAAAAATATTTATAGAAAAGACAGATAGAAGCCACATTAAGGTGATGGGAAAGTGACTGAAGCAGAGATGCCAGGTCAGTACTGATAACATTACAAACCCATCTTTGGATTTTGTCAAGAATCTCAAGATATACGGAATGAGCACCAGATCATATGTGGCATCAATATTCACCGCATGGTCGAATGGTAGATTTATAAATGTACAAGATGGATTCTGCTGAGAAAAATTGTGTGGTATGATATAGTGAACTAAATTTCTTTGCAGCAGATCTTGCATTTGTTTCAATCATTCCATTACATGTCAGTTGAAAACGTGAGACCAAGAAGACGTAATAAGTTGCTCTTTTGGGGATTGGTGTTAGCCATGCAGATGGAAAGCAAAAACAGTTCTCTAAGATGACTAAAACACAGTAGTTTCATTATGAAGGCAGTAAAATTTACAAGTCATTCCTTGCCTCACATTAGATACAGCGTGCGATGGATAAATTATCGTCTAAGTTACACAAAAAATGAAAATAATACTGACATCTCATTTTAATGGATATATTACCAAATTACGCATAAATATCTTGAAATACTAAAGAGTAAATATGTTCATTAAAATCGCCATTGGCTTCAACAACGGCCTCCAGATGACTTCGTTATCTCCTGCAACTCTTCTGGATGGTCTCATTGTTTAAGTTGGTGAATGCTGCCATAATCCTTGCCTTTGGTTCATCTTCGATGTTACAATTAGTTTTGTTGGTCTCTTGCTCAACTGCGCCCCACACATAATAATCAAGTGGATTGCAGTCTGGGGCTTAGGTGGCCAGATGTAAGGGGTGATGTGGTCACAGAAATTGCCATGACTGGGTTCTCCTGCTTGTGTGACATGGTGTAGAGTCCTGTTGCCAGATATAGGGTCTTCTAGCAGCCACCCTCTTGATCTAGTACTGCACTACTTCCTCAAGGCACTTGATGTAGGCCTGTGTTGTGTCTGAGGCCCTCACCAACAAATTTGGGGGTTCTTTCTCATCAGAATGATCAGAGTGAGTTTTCTGAGTTGCCATACCTTCACAATCACCATTAGACTCATCCAACTCTTTCCAAATCGTCTGCACTGTCCTCAGATTGACACCCAAACACTTTGAAATGTTCACATTGGAGTTTCCAGCTTGAATGCCATTTCTAAATTTCTGGTGGAGTGAATTGCATCATGGTGCTCTTTTTCTCACAGACGGTGCCCAACTGACCCTACTATACTGTGCAGTTGACAAAATCAAAAACAAACAACATACATGTGCAAAATTAAAAATTTTAAAATGGCGACAATTTAGCCATTTCACCCTTTATGTGTGTGTGTGTGTGTGTGTGTATGTAAAAATTGTAAAGGAATAAAAATTTGGCTTCCCTCTAAGTAATTTTTAATGTGGTTTCCTGTTTTTATCCTCTTCAGACTATAGAAGTAGAAACTTCTGTAAATATGTGTGTGTGTGTGTGTGCACATCCCTTTTCTTCAATATAAACAGGACAAAAACAAGGAAAGCATTTAAGTGCTTAGAAATGTGTCTGCTAAAATGTTATGGTTATTGATAGACAAAAAAATCAATAATCAATAAAGCAGCATTGGTAACCAATTCTGCAGAATAAAACTAAACTTGAATTTAAGCAATTAAATTAATTTTATTGTTGGTACTAATTAGAGGGGTGGGTGGCATACCAGTTAAAGGAAAACTCAAACATGCAACAATATGCACCCATTTGGCATTGATATATATATATGAATATGCACATAGCGTAGCAATTATCAGTGTGAAATGTAGGCTTGGCATACCAAGTTCAAATTCTGGCAGAGGTTGTTGCATTCAATTTTGCAAAAATATCCTTGGGAAAGGTATGTATCAATATGTATTTTTTCCCCTCAATTATGGTGGGGCAAAATGGGCTCTCTTGTCTTGGTTGGCAATCAGTCTACAAGAAGGTAAACTCAAATTTAAACACGAGGAAGACTGTAGAGACTTCATAACACACTGTACATTAATTCTCTTCTATCAATGTTTGCAAAAAGTCTGGCTGTTTCTAAACAAGCCTTTACCACTATAAACAAATCATGTGTTAGCATTTCAGTCCTAGGCTGAATTGTTAGGCCGTCATAAGCCAATGGAGAGAGTCCACCATATGTGTGTGTGTGTGTGTGTGTATCAATAATATGGTGATTGCAACATTTTACTCAGATGTGAGTCACCTCTTCACCCTTCGTATCTTTTGTAATGGCTTCCATTTTGTTTTGGCATCCATGGTCTTGAGACCAGCATTCAATTTCATTGGTATCAAGTATATATGACAGATAAACTCTGTACCTTTGATTGGCTTGATTGGATCTGCAGACCCTAGAACTCTCCTGTGTACCACCTTGTGCCTCCTAAGTCCAGACGATGATCGTCAAACCTTGTTGCACACACCACACGTGTGAGTAGCAGAATAAAGAGGCAAGTTGGTATAGGTGGCTTGCTTCTGGTTGTTATGATGACCTTTCAGATGGTTTACATAACCTGTCCTCTACAGCAGCATGTGCTCACACACACATACATTTCCAAGACTGCATATTAGTTGGCAAATCAGAGCATGTGCCTCTTCGAAGATAATGTGTGATTTGAGCATTCCTGCGACATTCATCCTCAAAGATGTAGCATCCTTCCCTTATAAAGTGCCTCCATTCTGTATGATTTAATGTTAGTTCTTCCCAATGCTGCACATTTGTGCAATGC